TTACACAAATGTCAACTTCACAAATCCAATAACATGTAATAAAAATACTAGTGAAAAAGATGATACAAATGACGGCATATTCCAATTCCAATCATGTTCAGATCTCTCATGCGAACTTTGTAATCTAAAATGCGCAGGATGTAATACAAAATATAAATATTGGGATGAGTTTTGGATCAAGTGTGGTTGGTGTAAAGATAGACATTTTTGTGGTGGATGTGTTATAGATGCTTCCAAGAAGAATGTTTTTAAAACTTATGCATTCCAATTTATGAGAATAAAATTATGTCAAATGTTTGATTTACCTTGTCCTCATTAGATTTTTACGCGCGTAATTAGAAATTAGAGTTATTAAATGTGAGACATCTTTTTTTTTTTTTCAAATAAATTTTATAATCTTGATTTTTTTTTTTTTTTTTTTTTTTTTTTTTTAATACTCATCCCTTTGTAATTTCATCATTTGCATATTTTTATTTTTTAGCTTAGTCATTCAGTTTACCGATTTGTATATATCTTCAAGAAATAATAACTAATAAATAAATAATAAATAAATAAATAAATGCTTAGATTTGGAATGCAATAAATTCCTGAAAGATTCTTTGAAAAATAAAGTATCTCCCTTTGAAAATCACTAATATTAATTAAGGGTCTAAAGATGGAAGATTACGAAGATTATGTGTTCTTTTTTTTAGAAAAAAAATTTTTTTGATCAGGAGATATGTCTGTAATTGTTGCATGTGCACAGAATGAAAATATAATTAGGAAATGACATATTGAATATAATTACTATAAGAAGTAACTTGATACTATATTTAGTTATTTATTTATCGATTTTTAACGTTAAAAAAAATTTATTAACATTAAATCATGATGCATTAGATCTTTCTAAATCGATACAGATGAATGTATATGAAATAGTCTTTTGGAATGGCCTCTTAATAAGATTAGATAATATGTTGAGTAGGTTAAGTAATCGAACATCCCTAAGTCATGCACTCTTGTGACAATATTATCCCTTATATATTTTAACGTTAAATTTATATATATTTTTTCAAACATTAATCGAAAATTTAATTTTAATTTAATTTTTTTTTTTTCAGTAGCCTTTTACTTTTTAAAATAACTGAATGCATATTAATAATTTGATTAAATCATAATCAAGATTATCTTTTCGTTTTCGAGGTTCAATTTATGCATTTTATGCATGCACGTTTGTGTAAAATATCAAGAATAATCAAATATTGTTCTATTAAGTAATTTTTTAAATTTTTACTAATCGAAAAATGTAATCAATGTCGATATTCCCCAACTAATTCGAAACTGTCATCAATGTTGATTGTTCACAACTAGTCTAAAATGTTATCTGTGCTTGATTGCCACAAGAAATGAAGCGAATACATATTGATTGTACAGTAACATTTTATTATCACCAATAATAATATAGATGGACCAAAGATTGTAACTAATCGAATAGTTCATACAATTTCATAAATTGGTAATGATCGAAAATGATCGGTGGATGTCAAAAATACGTCTTTTTTATATTGTCATTTATTGGTAATTTGATTGACTCGAACTTGTCGCTCAGACAAATTCTTTCTTTCAATAACCTATATATATAACACCGTTTTATTCAATAATGTAAACATCAAATTTTCTTTCGACTAATTAATCCATCGATTAAAAAAAAAAAAAAACACAAGTTTATCATCCAAATTTTTACCAACAAATAATACAAATAATAAAATGATTGCAAAAAAACATAAACAACTACCCTTAAAAATACTTGTAATAGGGACTGCTCACGAAGATGTTATACTTT